CTCTATTTCAGCCTTCTGGCCAGGAGGAGTTCCAAAAAGGTCCTCCCTTTAGAGCATCACTGAAAAGCATAAACTTACATTTCCATGATTATTATATATATTTTTTGCACTTTTATTTGATTGTGTTTTCCATTTCAGCCTTTTGTCCAGGAGGAATTCCAAAATGTCCTCCATTTTAAACAAGACTAAGAAGGATGCCTTTATATTTCTATTAGTCTTTTTTGCTTTTCTTTGGCCATGTCTTCCATTCCAGCCTTCTCTCCAGCAGAAGTTCCAAGCATGCATTTACATTTCTATGAATGTTTTTTTACTTTTCTTTCATCATGTCCTCCATTTCAGCCTTCTCTCCTGGAAGAAATCCACAATGTCCTCCCTTTGGAGCATCACTAGCATGGATTTATATTTCTATGAGTATTTTCTTTCCCCTTGCTTTTCTTTGGTCATGTCCTCCATTTCAGCCTTCTGTCCAGGAGGAGTTCCAAAAGGTCCTCCCTTTGGAGCATCACTAAGAAGCATGAATTTATATTTCTATGAGTATTTTTTCACTTTTCTTTGGTCATGTCCTCCATTTCAGCCTTCTCTTCTGAAGGAATCCCACAATGTCCTCCCTTTGGAGCATCACTGAGAAGCATGAACTTACGTTTCTATCGAGTGTTTTTAGCTTTCAATTTGTCACATCCTACATTTCAGCCTTCTGTCCAGAAGGAATTTCAATATGTCCTCCATTTTCAGCATGACTAAGAAGCATGGGTTTACATTTCTATCAGTGTTTTTTTAGCTTTTCTTTGGCCATGTCCTCCATGTCAGACTTCTATCCAGGAGGAATTACAAAATGCCCTCCATTTTCAGCATGACTATGAAGCATGGATTTATATTTCTATGAGTGTTTTTGTTTTGTTTTTTAGCTTTTATTTGGTGATGTCCTCCATTTCATCTTATGTCCAGGATGAATTTCCACAGTGTCCTCCATTCTTAGCAGGACTAAGAAGGATGAATTGACATTTATGAGTCTTACACTTTTATTTTGGTCATAGCCTCCCATTTCTTGATTGTTCTACATTTTGTGGGGCTCTGTCCTCCTTGGCGGTGAGGACATCTGGTCACCTTGAGTCTTGTGTGTAGTGTGCCTTCAAGTCATTTCCGACTTATGGTGACCTTAAGGCAACTTGATCATGCAGTTTTCCTGGCAAGGGTTTTTTCAGAGCATGTTTGCCATTGCCTTCCCCTGAGGCTGAGAGAGTGTGGCTTGCCCAAGGTCACCCAGTGGGTTTTATGACTGAGCTGGGAATCGAACCCTGGTCTCCAGAGTTGTAGTCTAATGCTCAAACCACTATGCCATGCTGACAAGGGTCCTTCTGTGCCCTCAAATGCTACTGTTGGGAGGGATGGAGATGCACCAGCTGAAGCATCTGTATCCCTCTCTCCCTGGGAAATCCAACTTTTACCGGTTGGATTCCAGCCTGACATGATGATGCTGAAAGAAAGGGCATTCTGGGCAGAGAGAAGAGCAACACAATTTTTGCAAGGGAGAAAGTACAGATTCTATTCACAAATGAACCTGAAAGAAGTGATTTTTGAAAACAGCAATAGAAATGTAAGGTCATGCTTCTCAGTGATGCTCCATAGGGAGGACCTTTTGGAACGCCTCCTGGAGAGAAGGCTGGAATGGAGGACGTGTCCTGGGAAAGGAGGACGCCCCCCCCCCAGGGATCCCAGGAGGAGGAGGAGCGTCGCAGGGGCGGCTGCCAGGAATAAAAAGGCTGGGAGGGCCCCCGAGGCAGAGACGGAGGAGCGGACGGGAGGCCAAGGTGCAGCGCAGCCTCCGGGGCATCCCTCACCTGCCGGCCCTCCGCTGCTGCTCTTACCTGCCGGAACAGGTGAGTAAGAAGCCGGGCAGCCAGGCGCGCCCTCCTTTCCCAGGACACACGTCCTCCATGCCAACCTTGTGGGAGTCCATCCCCACTGCAGGACCCCTCCGATTCTCATGGAGGACGTGGAGGACCAAAGCAAACAGTGAGTTCCCCCAACTCTCTCGTCTTCCAGGTGTTTGACTGAATAGTGGCGGAGTCTCCTTCTTTGGAGGGCTTTAAGCAGAGGCTGGATGGGCCTCGGTCGGGGGTGCTTTGATAGGGAGTTCCTGCATGGCAGAGTGGGGTTGGACTGGATGGCCCTTGGGGTCTCTTCCAACTAAGATTCTATGAATTGGACCTTAGCTCCCAACAGGATCCCCTGAGCATTGGCCAAGGCTGCTGAAGTCCAAAACGCTGCTGCTGGAAGACCAGAGTTGGGGCATATCCCTGGGATAAAGAGCTCATAGGTCCAAAACTCACGGCAGGGATAATCCAGTTTGAGAGCGCTTCAACTGCCCTGGAATCCTGGGAAGGAATGGTAGTTCCTTGTGGCACCAGAGCTCTCTGACAGAGAAGGCTGAATGTCTCACAAAACTAGTTCCCAGAATTCCCTAGCCCTGAGCCAGGGCAGTTAAAGCAGTCAGACTGGATTATTTCTGCAGTGTGTCTGGGGCCTGAACAGACTGCCAGAAAGAATCCAGCTTGAGACCACTTTAACTGCCCTGGCTCAAGGGCTAGGGAATCATGGGAAGTGTAGTTGATCGTGGCACCAAAGCTCTCTGACAGGAAGGTTCAATGTCTCACAAAGGTAGTCCCCAGAATTCCCTAGCACTGAGCCAGGGCAGTTAAAGTGGTCCCAGACTGGATTATTTGTGCAGTGTGTCTTGGACCATATAGACATATATGCTTCCTGGGGATGCTTAGAATGGAGGATATTTTGGAATTCCTCGAGGAATTCCAAAATATCCTCTATTTTGAGCATCACTTGGAAGCATGCATTTATATTTCTATGAGGTTTTTTAAAAACTTTTATTTGGTCACCATGTTCTCCATTTTTCTGGAAGCTCCTCCATTTTGCGGTGCCTTGTCCTCCTTGGAGGCTAGGAGGACATCTGGTCCCAGTATGGTCCCAGAGACACAGGTCTGGAAAGCGCTTCTTGTCGGCTGGTTGGCAAACTAGATATCCCAGTGGGGAGGGGGAGTCTCTTCAGAGGGAGAAGGTGGCTTCTTAGTTTTTTCACCCCAGAAGAGAATTAGAGTGTATGAGCCCCTCAGCAGGAGATACATGTTCTGTCAGGGAGGTGGATATGGGGGAACAGAGCATCAGGCTGGCTGTGGATAATGGGTGTTGTAGTCTGTCTTCTTTGGCTGGAGTTTATTACAACTCTCTCCAGGACAGCCATAGACAAACCCAATGCCATTCATGTTGTTGTTGTGTGCCTTCAAGTCATTTCTGACTAATGCCCACCCTAAAGCAAACCTCTCATGGGGTTTTCTTGGCATGATTTCAGAGAAGATTTGCCATGGCCTTCCCCTGAGGCTGAGAGTGTGTGACTTGCCCAAGGTGGCCAAACTGGGAATCAAATCCTGGTCTCCAGAGTTGTAGACTAGCTCTCAAACCACTATGCCACGTTGGCTCGCCATTCAAAAATAAACCAAAACCAAATGGGCAGACTAGACAGCCATCAGAAACCACTGATTTGGAGGGACTTGGAAGATTATACATTACAGCCTTGGGCTGAACTTGGTTATTTTCCTCTTTCTGTCCATCTTCATGTTATATTGGTCTTTCCTCTTGGGAGACTTGTCTTCTTTCAAAAATAAATAAATGAATTAATCCCTTTGTGTAGTGCCATCCTTGTAGAGTGTTTTAATGACTAATACCGTAGTAACAAGTGGTTACAATTTTCGAGTCCTGAAATTTTGTTTTGCCTGGTTTTTCCAAAACATATCCAAGTGTTTTTGTTAATATTTTTTTTAATTTGTTTTTAAAAAAAACATTGACTTGTAAGCTGCTTTGAGAAGCTATGGTGGAAAAGAGGAGTCTAAACGCTTCAACATTGTGTTGTGTAGTGGTTTGAGCATTGGACTATGACTCTGGAGACCAGGGTTTGAATCCCAACTTGCCCAGGAAAACCCACTGGGTTACCTTGAGCAAGTCACTCTCTCTCAGCCTCAGAAGATGACAAGGACAAACCCCCTCTGAAGCCCCTTGCCGAGAAAACCCCATGATAACCTCACCATAAATCAGAAACGATTTGAAGGGACACCACTACAACAAATGTCAAAAATAATTAACAGTACAATCCACCTGTCTTTATGGTTTTCCAACCTGGCATCCATCCCCGACACCCAAAAGATGACTAGTCCTGAGGAGGACAGGATAGGTGATCTTGTGGAAAGGGGCTCATCTTGTTAAAATCAGTCCCCATGCATCCTGTCCTGGACCATGCAGTGATGTATATAGAGAAATGTGTTTGCAGGGGATCACAGATAGATCTCATAAGCAGGGTTCAAGCACCAGGTCTTCTTGACTAGCAGGTATGCCATCTTCTCAGTTCCCCCCTTCTTCCCAAACTTTCCTTGTTCCCCATGAGATTAGCTGCAATCCTCACTGTAGCTGGGGGAAAGGGATGGATTTTCCAAGCAAAATGTTATTGCTGTATGAGCCAACACTGTCGCCTACATTTCTGGACTGTCTGAAAGTGTGGCTATGGGGACCTCCTGAGTATCTGCCCTTTACCTTTTGCCTTGGTAAATAATCCCCTTCCCTCCAGCCTGGGTCTTTGCCCCCCCTTTCTCTTTGGCAGGGCATTCCACTGGCTTTTTTTTTCTTTCCCAAAAAAGTTGTATTATTTCTAATGAGCTTTCTTGTGTCTCCCAGGTGTCTCTGTCATTCTTGCACCAATGATGCTCCCTCTGGCTCCGTACCGCTTTACTCTCCTCAGATTCCTGGTTTGCCTGGTGGTACCCAGCTGGGCACAACGCCCTAACATTCAGCTGCGCCTGGTGGGGCCCAGGAGTGAAGTTGGCGAAGGGCGGCTGGAAGTACTATACAACGGACAGTGGGGCACAGTGTGCGATGATGACTTCAACATCCAAGTGGCAGATGTGGCCTGCAGGGAGCTGGGCTATGATGGAAGCACAAACTGGGCTCACAGTGCCAAGTATGGCCCAGGAGATGGTAAGGAGGGGCTGGAAAGCAGGGATACAGGGGTGGGGCAACGTTAGTTTTAGGAAGTACACTCTCAACAGTTCAGAGTCTTGGGGTCTCCTTTTACTAGCTAGGAATGTACAGGGTTAATGAAGAGTGTCTCTGTGCAGGTACAGAGTGCATTAACTTCATCACCAGGTAACCACAGTCCCTTTCATGCATTTATATCATACTCCAGGCTTTCAGGCTCTGAAGTTTAGTTTCCTGACTGTAATGAACTGTAGCATCTCTTCTTGGCATAAACACCACTGGAATGATATGAGCAGGCAATGGGCTTTTAAAATATCAGCCCCAATGCCACCAGTTGCTTGAGAGTGCATCCAAGACTGTCACCTGTCCTAGCAGAGGACATCATAAAGAACAGGGCAAGTGTGTTCCCTGTAGTCTTCAGGTAGGACCTACTGTGTAAAGTGTTTCAATTATGTTTAGTGTTCCAAAGTGCCAGTTGCTGTGCCAAGGGAAGAGAGCTGCCAACTTGGTGTGACATTAAACAGAAATGAGTTACAAAAAGTGTTTGTATATGTTCATGGCATACCCTTCTTAAACTGAAGTCTGTATCCTGAACATAAACGTGTATCCAAGTCAAAAGGCAGTGAAAAGCCAGACATTGCCAAGGCAGATGGGATGTATATTCAGAACATCTCTCATCCATTGCACATTTTCTCTTGAACTGAGTTATACCATCTTGTCCAAAAGGCCTAGAAGTGTCTTACAATGGCTGCCAAATGATTGACCTAATCTGATCCCCACCTAATTCCTTTCCATCCTGCCATGTCCAGTCAAATCTACATACTTGATAAGGTCTTTGATCTCTCCCATCAAATACTGTGTTAATATCTCAAAATGACTAACCCACCAGTGTTATTAGCAATGTGGGGAGGGAATAACCTACTTCAATCTGGCCACCTTCCAGATGCATTGAAGTATGACTCCTATCATCCCAGTTGTCTATGCCGTCTGGGTAATAGGAGTCGCAGTCCAATAAAGCTGGAAGGTGCCAGGGTGGGGACTTTTGGGTTGACCTTAAAGGCATAAATGTGCTTCCTAGGAAAGAGGTTTCTAACTAGGGGGAGTTAGGGCTGCAATGGCAACCCATGGAAAAGACTGACCAGGGCTCCTTGTTTTCTGACAGGCCCCATCTGGTTGGACAACATGCGCTGCTCTGGCACTGAAAGCTCCCTGGCTGAATGTGAATCCAATGGTTGGGGCGTGAGCGACTGCAACCATAATGAGGACATTGGTGTAGTATGCACAGGTCTGAGACGACCCAGCCCTGCTGTT